AAGAAAGTATATAAGCTAATTTTTAGTTATAGAAATTAATAGGCCATAATTTGTCAAGTTATGGTTCATAATCAGATAAATTATAAATAAACTTGTCAAGTTATGATTCATAGTCAGACAAGTTATAGACAAAAATCGTGATTTATGGACAATAATTTGTCAAGTTATGGTTCATAACCATACAAGTTATAGACAAAAATAATAATTTGGCATATTTATTAACTTATGTAAACTATTAGTAAACTATTGGGCTATTAATTTTAATTCATCTCAAATCTTGATCTATTTCTCTTTTTTTCCCAACAAAAAATTTCCTTGGATTTTTTTTTTCTCTTTGGTTTTTTTGGTAAGTGAAAATTTCCTTGGTTAGTAATCCACGTTGACGATGACAACCCCGACACTTGAAGGAGACCTACCATGCGCAAAAAATTACTTCTCTAACTCTAAGACAATTAGCTGTACTCGTTTACACTCTCACCTCCTTGCACTTGCTTTCTTTTATAAGGTCATATTAGATTATTTAGACACGATGGTCCATCATGTAAACTAATTGCAATTTAGCTCTTCTTGTTTATTTGGACGCCAACTTGGTTTTCCAATAATTAATCACCTAAACCTTTCCTTTCTATGTATGTAAGGAAAGAGAGAGAAAAAGAACAGTCACCGTCGGTCGGAGCTTTGAGGTTGTCTCGGGTGCGTTGCCAGACTCCCGACCTTATAACTTCATCATATGGCTCGTCTCATCCTGAGCTTCTTGGCGATGGTGGTGCACGGTGTGGTGGCTCCGTTTGGTTAGATTTGTTGCGGGTTGGTGGTTATGCTGAACATTTGGATTGCCCTCGTATGGTGGTTGAGTGCCCCCAATGTCTTGTTCCGTGGGCTTCTTTTGGAAGTCATGGATTTCATTTGTAGCGATGGTGGTAAACGTGCGTGAGGGTCATGTGTTCCTATTTACTTATGGTTTTTCGACTTTGCCATGTGTCTTTTAAAGCTCGCCGACAGTTCATTCGCCGGTTGTCCCCTCCTCAGTGGCTTAAAATGGCAATGCTTGGCAATTTTCTTGTGCTTTATGTGTATTTTGGTTTGTAAATACTGACATTATCCCATATAAGATTTTGTTTTGATGAGCTGTTTGGTTTGAAGGTTATGGAGGGTTTGAACATAAAATGTGGTTTGAACTCTTGTTTGATTACATAATATTTTGAGCTTAAATTTGGGTTTAGGGTTCATCTGAGCTCAAAATTAAAGGTTGCACTTAAGTTTACCCACGTTAAAGTTCTTACAGTTCTAACTCAATTTACTGTTCAATACCCAATTCAAAAGTTCCCACCAATCATTTCACTCACATTTTTTAAAAACCTATAGTTTTAATAATGTAACCAAAAACTGGTTTCAACTTTATTTCTTGTTTAGATCTTACACTACTAAATGCAGTTCAAACCACAAGAACCCATATATAGGTTCAAACCCATACAAAAACTAATATTTTATGTGACCTTATTGCTATACGTCTTTCAACTTTGGTCGATCATATTTATGTATCTATTGTAGAGTCTTTGTCAAAGAGCCATATATATGTTCAATCTTTAGTATAGCTTAATAATGAGTGCCCTCTCTTGGAACTTGACATGCATTTTTTTTGTGAGCATTTTATTTGAATTTATTAATAGATCCTGTTTTTCTATAATTTGTGGTTATTCGAGTCATAATTGGTGTTTTTATTTCCTTAATTTGAAATATATTATCCCTTTTTTTTTAAAACCTAATTAGGGACATTAATTAGACATTATATATATTTATATTTACATAGAACTCACATCCTCTTTTAACTCAAATTTCACTTTGTACCATGCCATTTGTCATCACATTATTGGCATGTTTACTTACCAAGATTGAAGAATGAGAGTCAATCTCATGTTTACTTACTCTTTTTTATCCTGGAATGGGAGTAAGATTGGTAGGTCCCATTCAAATTTAGGATTAAGGAATGAGATTGACACTCTCATGCCCCCTTTGGGATTGAGACTCTTATTCCTAATATTAATATTAATTTACTATCATACCCTTATTTTACTTATAAATACACAATTAAAAATAAAATTCAAAAAATAATAAATGCAACATATATTTATTATTTTATTTGCCTAATATTATAATATTAGCATAATTATTGTTAACTTTAATATAATAAATGTATTCTTTATTTTTTAATAAATTAATAATATATTTTATTTTTAACACTATTTTTTATTTATTTTAATTAATTTTTTTAAAATTTATTTTTATATTTTAAATAGTTGTACAATTTATATTTATTATTTTAGTACCCAATTATTACACTAAATATTTTAATTATGTTTAATTTTAATATAATAAGTACACAATATATTTTTAAAATTGAAAATATCAAATTGATTTAAAGGGTATATTAGTACTTTTACACATTTTTATTCCGATTCTATGTGTAAGTAAACGTATGAATGAGATTTGGAATGACTCCGATTCTGAATCCTATCACTAAGTAAACAACTTATTCTGACTCTGATTTCTCACTCCGAATCCTACCCACTCCGAATCATGCTCACTCTGATTCATGCTCATTCCAATTACGCGTAAGTAAACATGCCATATAAGTCTTGTAAAAGAAAAGGATAATTGATATTGTTAGTTTTTAACTTTGAGTTTGCTCCTTAAACTTTTAATTTTGACATATTAGTTCATAAACTTTTCTTTTTCAATAATTTTGATTTATGACACTAAAATTAACAAATAATTTCTAAAATTCAACTAAGATAATTATGTTTTTGGTGCGTAATAACTTAAAATTTTACATAAAGGATTAGGCTATATGTGAAATTTCTTGTTACTACCAAAATCTATTGAAACTACAACATTTCACAATTAATATAACCGTTTACGTAAAATGTTTCAATTCCTATGTGATAGGATGTGATTATGTAATTAAATTTTAGAAATCACTTATCAATTTTAGTGACAAAGACTAAAATTGTCGGAGAATCAAAGGTTCAAAAACTAACATACAAAATGTCAACATTTGGAAAGTTCATAAACTGTCAGTAACCCAAAATAAAAACATCATGCGAAGATCACGGCTGGTATCAATTTAATATCTTTTTGGAAGTACCAATTTAATGTTATCCGAAATGTATAGACAACCAACGTTAATGTGACATAACCCCTAAAAAAATTGTGACGAGACATTTTTTGTTTTTATTTTGCAACCAAAAGATATTGAAGAAATTACTAAGACATACATTTTTTCCCTTAATAATTTTGGTTAGTATAAACGACATTTTGAAATTGAATATAGAGGTCTATTGAAAATGATCGAAAATAAAAATACTATGTAGATTTAATATAACTTAATTAGATGAAATTTTGATAATTGAAAATAATAATACTAATACAATATATTTACGTCGTACTAAAACTTTCTCAATAATTCATCATTCATTAAAAAAAGGGAAGTAAAATTTTAAGATAAGCTTTATCTGTGGGCCAAATTTTGCGACACCGGCTTTCTTATCATACAAACAATTTTACTTAAAGATTATTGTCGTACTTAAAGATTATTATTGTTTGTACATATACATACATACATACAAACATATATATATATATATATATATTATATACTAGTTGAAACTAAACGCTGTTAATTTTTTTTTTTTATAAAGATGTAAAATTTCTTTAAATTCTTTTATTGATTTAGTATTCCTTCAAGAGTTTAATTCGGTAAAAAAAAATAAAAATAAAAAATTTAAGTAGAGTATAGTTAAAAGAAAAATAAAAATTTTAGTGGAGCAAATTAGAAAATAAATTATTTATGAGTATATATGAAAAATAATATTTAAGAGGGTTATAGAGAAAAAAAATATTTAAGTAGAGATACATTTAGGAAGATATGGTATCAGTAAAGTAATTAGAAAAAAAAATGTATTTTATGAGGACCACATTTGAAAAAAGAATATTGAGAAGACACGAGACACTGTTTAAACAAAGATAAATTAGAATAGTTTTATTCATGAGATAAACATTAGTTGACCGTACTATTAATAAAAAATTTATGTAAATATGGTGATAAAAAAAAGTGTTTCGAGAAACACATAAAAGGGATTAACTGTAAAACAACCTTTAGTAAAAAGGAAAAAATAGGAATATATACAAAATAAATTGTTTTAGTAAATGTAAAATGAGAAAAGAAAGTATTTCAAAGCAATACATTTTAAATAAAATTAAATTGTGTAGGAACAAATAGGAAAAAAATAAAAATAAAAATTAGAAAATGTTTAAAAGAAAAAGAAAACAAAACAAAAATGTGGTGCTCATATGTCAAAAAAAAAAAAAGTCTCCTTATAATGCTATGTGAGAAAATGACAGAAAATCCTTTCGGTTCTTTTTTGTATGTTTAAAATTAAAGATATATGTGTGTGTATATATATTTTGATAATGCTAACAAAATTAGCAATCATAAGTTTCTTTGTAATGCTACATGTTAAAAGAAAGAAATTTTTTTAACTCTTTTATGTATGTTAAAAATAAAGATTAACTATTAAAAATTAAAGATATATACGCATCAATAATGTGTACTTTATATTATAGAATACTATTTTATAATGAGAGTTTCTCTTATAAATTTTTTGATCAGTAAAGTTAACTTTTAACTGTAAAATCTATTTTTAACTGTAAAATTTAATTAATATAGCATTAAATTGAAAAGTCTACAAATTGAACAAATTTTAATACAAATATGAAAACCAAAAAAGTAGAAGCTTCACTGGTTATTATAATTTGTTAATTGTCATCTTATTTTTATTTTCTTTTTTTGGTCATTACAATATACAAACAAACTGGTAAAAATTTATTCCAAAAAATAATTATTATATTTTTTACATTATTTGTTTTGTTTTGTTTTTTTGTTTTTGTTTTTTTTTTGACAATTTTAAAAAAGAAGAGCTACGAAAAGTCGTCGCCTTTTATGATGACTACTATCTCTTCTGGCTTCTTTCAATTTCACTGAAAAGAAAACAAAGCCTTCGATTTTCCTCTTCCTTCTTCTTTCTGGTAAGATTTTATTTTTCTGTTCCTTTTTTCGTGAATATGTTTCGTCGGTTTAGCTCTGATCAGTTGCAATTTTCGTTGTAATTTACTTTATTTTTTTTAAATTTTTGTTTTCCATTTTCCATTTTTGTTTGAAAGGCTGCTATGGGTTTAAGGTTTTGAGCAAGAAGTTTTGGAGGATTTTTCTCGCAGATTTTCGAGTTTCGACCATGGAAAGACAGCTCGTGGGCTCTGAAATTCATGGATTCCACACTTTGCAAGGTACAAGAATCGAGACCTTTTTTTTCTTTTTTTGCTGAGAAATGCCTAATATTTTTCGTGTAATTTATAAGACGACAATTCCTTTTGAAATCTTGAAGAAAGGCTTTGTGTTTAATTCTCGAGAGTGATTTTCTCTGTTTTTTTTTTTTTTGGATTGAAGTACTGACTAAAACTGGTGGCTTTTCTTTTGGGAATTTTGTTTTTCTTCAGAAAGATTATTTCTTTAGGGAATTAAACAGCTAGGCGCAACCAAAGATTTCATATTTGTAGTTTGTGGGACCATCGGTGATGGGGACGTTGTGGGTGGGTCTAGAGTGAACAATTATGATCATGTGGCCAATGAAGCAAATGATTGATAAGGTGTTTGGAGAGGCCAAAAGATAATTCAAAGATTATTTTGCTAAACAAATTACATTATTAATTTATTATGTATTGGCCGTACGAAGATTAGTGATGTTCCAAATAATGGAATTGCTAATTGGATAGTGTTTCTCTCATGCTCTATGTTTTTTTTTTTTTTTTAATGTATTTTCTTCTGATGTTCGAATTCGAATCTTGTTTTTGCTTAATATTGAGATTAATGATTTACACATTTAGTAGGGAGCGTAAATACAGGTTTTCTTGCTTATATGGTATTCTTTGTGCAGATTTAGATTTTGCGACCATCATGGAGGAAGCGACTGGAAGATGGCTTCGACCGAATGAAATTCATGCCATACTTTCTAACAACAAATATTTCACCATCCATGTCAAGCCAGTGAACCTGCCCAAAAGTAACTGCCTATTACTTGTAGTTGTTGAATGGTTTTTCTTTCTTGAATTTAATAGTTTTTCTGCTTTTCCGTTTTATTTTGATTAAAGCTCTCGAATGATTTTGTGAAAATACTTTTTTGTGATTGGTACAAATGCTTATTGTGTATGTGACAACATAAGAAGCATTTAGAATGACATAGCAATCTACTTGAGGAATGTGAATAGCCGTGTTGGTTGGTAAATGTGTAATTGTATGAGTGTAGTTTGTGTGCTTTGCAGTGCAACGAGCTAACATCAGAGAGACATATGCTTAGTTTGATGAATGTTTCGTGCAAATCACAAGAGCTTTTGTTTTTGCTCCAATTCTTTCTGTACCATCTGCAATTAATATTCTGGAATTGTTTATTTTGACGGTCCGATGTAACAGGTGGCAGTATTGTATTGTTTGACCGTAAGATGCTTAGAAACTTTCGAAAAGATGGTCATAACTGGAAGAAGAAAAAGGATGGGAAGACTGTTAAAGAAGCACACGAACACTTAAAAGTGAGCTTACTTCTGTAACATAATTTAAATATTTACTAAATACTCTTCAAATTTATGTGACTCATTGTGTCCATGTGGAAAACAATATGCCATTCTTGTTTCCCTGGTTATAAGTTTCTTCTTTGTTATTGATGGCTTTTGATTCCTATCTTTCTCTAGATCATGCTATTTTTGCCATATTGGACTTGAATAATGAACTTTTTTCTTTGTCATCTTTTTTCAACTTTACAGGTAGGCAATGAAGAAAGGATACATGTATACTATGCACATGGTCAAGATAACCCAACTTTTGTTCGGAGGTGTTACTGGCTGCTTGATAAGTATGTGAAGTTTAGTGCTTTATCTGTTAGTCTCTTGTTCTCTCATGTTATTGAGATTTTCTTTTCTTTGGCTCTCTCCTTCTCCCAAGTCCCTAGTAGTCTGATCTATGGTTTCATTCTTACTTTTGTTTCAGGAGTCTAGAGCACATTGTCCTTGTTCATTATCGCGAAACACAAGAGGTTAGTTTATTTTATTTTATTTTATTTTAGCTCATTGGGGAATAATTTACTTCTTATTTCAATGCTGCAGCTATGAATGGTGATTCAATTACCTTTTGGAGCAGGATTTGTTTAGTATATTGTGTAGTCCTAGAATTCATCTAAATGATTAATTATTTTTCTAATCTTTTGTCCGGTTTTCACTCGAAACTTTTAAAAATAAGTAGTTCAAAAGTCCAATATAATAAAGCAAATATTTCTTGTTTAACTCATAAAGAGGTTGCAACCGTAATTGAAAAAAAAAAAAACTATCTCCAACACCAAAATTAGAAACATTTATAACTATATGGCCATTCCTGTCAGCTAAGAAACTATATCCGTAACCTTGTTTGGGCTGTGGTTTACTCGTGATACAGTCACAGGGTTCTCCGTTCACGCCTGGAAATTCAAATTCCAGTTCTACATCTGATCCGTCTGCTCCTTGGATTGCATCGGATGAGCTTGATTCGAGGGCGAACAATGCATTTCATGTTGGTGGAACGGATCTTTTAGGTGTAGTAATGAACGTTGTTCTCCAATTATATAGTTTTTCTTATCCATTTTCCCCCTTTGAGGAAGCTATGGATTTTATTAAAGTTCAATAGAAACAAACTTATTCAAATATTTTCTTTCTAATGTCAACAGAGTCCAGGGACAATTTAACTGTAAGAAATCACGAACAGCGGCTTTATGATATCAATACGCTTGAATGGGATGAACTTCTGGTTGCAAATGCTCCTGTGAATTCAGCTGCATCTAAAGGAGGTAATTGATCGCATAACAATTAATAGCAGAGGCAGTCATTAGGAAAGTACTGAATTCTCTTTTGTTTTTTCTTTTCCCTCTTTTTGGGTTGGGGGTGCGTTCTTGTGTAGGAGACAAAGTTCCACTCTTCAATCAGCAGAATCAGGGTGCAGGAAATGGTTTCTTTGCTGGCGTAAGTAGCATCATTTTAGAATTTAAATTCAGTTTCATACTTGTTTGGTCCATTCTGTGAAGAAATTTTCATTTTCCGTCTCCTTTCAAATTCCATTTCTTCAGTGTTTCCACACTCACGTGCACATATACAAATATAGGAATGTGTGTTTAAATTCACGAGTAGTCTGTTGCTGTGCATTTGCATTTGGTGATTTATGTCCTAAAAATATGTTGTGAAAAATATACAAGTAAAGGTAGCGGTTTCAATCACATAGCCTACGTGTTCAGGGGCCTTGTAGTGCCCATGGTGGTTAGCTTTTATATACTGTGTCGCTAGGGTGTTGCTCTAGTGACTTCATATGTACCTTTCTATAATTTAAAGCAAAGTTGGTTGCTACACTTTTGTGAATGCTTTTGATTGCACACATAATCACATAGGTATTTTTGTTTTTATATTTTTTTATTTCTGTCATGTGAATTAACTTAGATGGTGTGGAGATTGGGGCTTCTAGGAAGTTTAGGTACCTTGGGTCTATAGTGCAATACGAAGGAGATATAGAAGAGGATGTTCAACATGGGATTAAGGCGGGGATGGTTAAGTGGAAGAATGCTACGGGAGTTTTATGTGATGGCAAGATGCCTATTAAGTTGAAAGAAAAGTTCTATAGGATTGTAATCCGCCCAACTATGTTATATGGTAGTGAATGTTGGGTCATTAAGAGACAATATATATGTAAGATGAGTGTGACTGAAATGCGTATGTTAAGATGGATGAGTGGCCATACGAGAATGGATCGCATAAGGAATGAAGTTATTCGCAGTAAAGTAGGTATAGCACCAATAGAAGATAAGGTGCGCAAAGGCCGCTTGAGGTGGTACGAACATGTCTAACGTAAACCGCTAGAAGCACCAGTTCATGCTTGGGAGGACATTCTTATACCTAATACTACGAGAGGGAGGAGTAGACCAAGAATTACGCGGACCAAAGTAATTAGGAATGACATTCTAGATCTAGGCCTTCAGGAAAGTCTAATTTCGAACAAAGCTGCGTGGAAATTGTTTAGATCTACCTTGGGATTAACGCTTCTTGTTGTTGTTGTTGTTGTCATGTGAATTAACCAATCTAATGGTTTGTCTTTGCAGGGAACTATCAATTCAGTTACTGAACTATCTTCTTTCAATAATTTGATGAATCCAACTGCTGGCAACGCTCATGGTAATCTGCTCAATGATGTTTACATTCCGAAAATGGAGGGCCAATCAAATTCAGATTCTATTGGAGTGGGAACTGGTGATTCCTTGGACGTTTTGGTGGATAACGGATTGCATAGCCAGGACAGTTTTGGGAGGTGGATAGAAAATTTTATGACTGAAGATCCAAGGTCCATAGAGGATCCAATGCTTGGGACCTCAATTTCCTCTGTTAAAGAGTCATTTGTTTCCCCAGAAATGAGTCATCTACAATCTCCTGTTCCAGAGCAAATATTTAACATAATTGATATGTCACCTGAATGGGGTTATTCAAATGAAAAGACGAAGGTTTGTTTCTTTTTATATAGACATTTGTGCGTCTATATGCAAGTTTAGAAAATGTTTGTAGTTACTGTTTCTTAGGCTTTTTGCTTTGTATGATAGATGCTTGTCTTTGATTTACTCATAAATTGTATTTTATTTCCTTAAATGCTTTAATTTGAATGTTTATTATAATCTTTTTGCCACTATTTACTTTTTATTGCAGATTCTGGTTACCGGCTTCTTTCATGAACAATATCAACATCTTGCAAAATCCAATCTACTTTGCGTCTATGGTGATGCATCCGTTTCTGCAGAAATTGTTCAGGTCGGGGTGTATCGCTGTTTGGTATCGCCGCATTCACCTGGATCTGTAAATCTCTTTATGAGTATTGATGGCCAAAAACCCATTAGCCAAGTTCTAAATTTCGAATGTCGCTCTCCTATATTGAGTGCTCCCGTTGTTTCTTCAGAAGAAAAGTACAATTGGGAAGAGTTTCGGACACAGATGCGGCTTGCACGTTTACTCTTCTCTACATCCAAGAGCCTTAACATTCTATCTAGTAAAGTATCACCTAATGCACTGAAGGAGGCCAAGAAGTTTGCCGACAAAACCTCCCATGTATCTAATACCTGGGAAGTTTTTATGAAGTCAATTGAAAATAGTAAAATTCCATTTCCACAAGCAAAGGATAATCTGTTTAGACTCATCTTAAGGGACAGATTGAAGGACTGGCTATTGGAAAGAATCACAGAGGGCTCAAAAAGCACAGATTTTGATATTCATGGTCAAGGAGTAATCCATCTGTGTGCTATTCTGGGATATACATGGGCCATCCATTTGTTTTCATTGTCAGGGTTGTCACTGGATTTTCGTGACAAGCTTGGATGGACAGCTCTACATTGGGCAGCATATTGTGGAAAGTATGATTTTTGTTTCATATACTCTGTCTCATTTACGACCAACCATTAGAGGAAAAGAAGGGGATTATTTTGTCATTTAATAAAAAATGGTTTTTTGGAGAATTTCTTGTCGTGCTTAACTTAGTTGTCTACTTTATATTGGAATTCTTTAAGCTAATCATGGTTTTATGCTTTTGCTCATCTTCCATACATTATTATGAAGCTGATATAATGAAAGAGTAGACTTTGGTGTTTGCCCCATTTGCAATTTGCATGTTTATAGTGCAGGTGCTTTTATTAATCCCATAAATCGGCCGTTTGCAGTGAAAAAATGGTTGGCGCTCTTTTAACTGCAGGAGCAAAGCCAAACTTGGTAACAGACCCCACCTCTGCGAACCCTGCTGGATACACGGCTGGTGACATTGCATATATGAGGGGATATGAGGGTTTGGCAGCCTATCTTTCAGAAAAGGGTTTGGTGGAACAATTCAATGATATGAGCATAGCTGGAAATGCCAGTGGCACCATTGAAACAAGCACAAATGATATTGCAAACAATGAGAATCTCAGTGAAGAGCAGCTGTATTTGAAGGATACTTTGGCGGCCTATCGGACAGCTGCTGATGCAGCAGCACGTATACAACTTGCATTCAGGGAGCATTCGCTAAAATTACGAACAAAAGCAGTTGAGTTTTCTAGTCCGGAGGAAGAAGCACGCAGTATAATTGCCGCAATGAAGATTCAACATGCATTCCGTAATTTCGACACCCGAAAGAAGATAGTAGCAGCTGCTCGTATACAATACAGATTCCGAACTTGGAAGATCCGTAAAGATTTTCTTCATACGCGGCGTCAAGTTATAAAAATTCAGGTAACCTTCCTCTTTTTCCTCAGTGGCTTATTTGGACATTTGAATCTGACAAAAGTACTAACTATTACAAACCTCACAGCGACTCAATACTGTTTTGCTACTTCAAAGGTATACAATCAGTTGTAGTAGTTGTAATCTCAATGAGAACGTCATGAAATCTGCTTGATATTATAATTTAGATCTAATGAACTCGATGAAATTCATATATTTTCATATCTGGTGATTCTAGCATTCCTAGGGAGCTCTCGTTAGTTTGAGAACCAGGTGAAACCGAGTGATTTCATTTTTTCTCGATGTAGGCTGCTTTCCGGGGCTACCAAGTGCGCAGGCAATACTGTAAAATTCTCTGGTCTGTTGGAGTCCTTGAGAAGGCCATTTTGAGGTGGCGATTCAAGAGAAGGGGATTCCGCGGGCTTCAGGTAAACCCAACTGAAGCTGTTTCAGACCAAGGCCGAGAGAGCGATACAGAAGAGGACTTCTATAAAACTAGCCAGAAACAAGCTGAAGATCGTGTTGAGAGATCTGTGGTACGAGTTCAGGCCTTGTTCCGCTCAAAGAAAGCACAAGATGAATACCAGGCAATGAAGTTGGCCCATAATCGAGCCAAGGTTAGTGGTTTAGTTTGATATTTGCCTGGTTGACAGGATTCTGCTTATGCTTTTTTAAGATAAGAAGTAAAAGTCATAACATTTAAGTTATCAATTGGATAAAAATTTTGAAAGAGCTTTTCAAGACATGAATGAGATACTCTTTTTGTCATTCATTGACAAAAGAGTGAAATAAAAATAAAAGTACTTATTTGAAATTCAAGAGGAATTTCCTGTATTTTTATATTGAAGCTCATTTAGTGTTTCATTCAAACACCTTGAAATTTCGTTTTTGGCTGAGCACACTAAAAGTTTGACTTCTAAAAGCTCTACAAGCATGGCCCAATTGGGTTACCTTTAAATCCTCGTGTCATTGACTCTTTTAAATTGAGAAATCGAGAGGAATGCCCTTAATTGAAGAAGCGTAAAGGTTTATGCTCTTTCTTTACACTATGAGATTTTCGTCCTCACTTTATCTCGTTACATATTAATTTGAGAGGTATGTAATTCTAAAGAAAAAAGGGGCTCAAACAAAGAGAAAAGTTCTAATTTTCTCTGAAATCTGTTTTCTACAGCTGGAATATGATATCCTTGATCCCGATATTGACATCAACAGTTGAAGACTACAGGTTTCACTCGGCTTCGAACACTCTGGTAATGTGGCGGAATCCCTCCCTATTAGATGACGACCAGCCAAAGTGGGGGGGCTCTGTTAGTGTAGCCTGTATATGTTGTAAATTCTTAGAATAATCTAGATCAGGTTTTCCTTTTCGACCCTTTCGAAACCGTTTTGACGTTTCAAATGCCGTTATGTCGATGTTCAAAGCTTGACATGGATCCTTTGGTTTTTGATTGTTGGTACATAACTTGGATGCTTCATCTGTATTAAGACCTTGGCTAATACTTTTGCATCATTCATTGAGCGGCTTTCTCAACTTACATTTCAGTTATTTTACATGCAAAACATGTTTGCTTAGCTCTTTCCCGAGTTCGACCAGGTTGGACAAATGTACTTTTTTTTTTCCTCAATTGGGGGCCTTTCTGTTGAAAAAAAAAAAAAAAAAGGTTTTTGGGAACCGAAGGCGCAAGAAAGCTTGCAAATATTGAGCTTTGATGACATTTAATAGAAAGCATCAAGCGGGACCAACAACTACTACAAAAGTGGGAATTTGTGGCTGCCCATTCTTGTTATGCAAGTTTGAATAACAATTTAAATCTTTTTTTCATAGTGTTTTTCTCAGCAAACATCTTGGTGGGCCATTGGCTGGCTTTCATTTGTCTTTGTATATTAGCAGTTAACTCATGGAAATAGGCATGTCCCCGCTCAGTTTGAGAGCCAGTCACATTCATTTTTTACGTTTTATGTTGAGATAACAATCTTGTTAGGGATTGAGGCTGCTACCTTTAAAAGTGCTATTTTAAAACCTGTTCAAAGGAAATTAAGCCCCAGTTCCGCGTATCCACTCAGTGGAAGGTCTTTTCGTAATGGATGGCCCTCGAAACCATAATCTGTCGTATATGTTGATATACGACGTAGATCCGAATGATTGATGGAAGAAACACCAAACATGTCTCTGACTACCGGAGATATTCGTGTTACTTCATCTGCATTGGTTTGTACACGAATGCGTGAGTTATTCTGAGTACTCAGTAAATTATAGACCACTTCAAATCTTCGTTTTTGAGAGGGACAATCCCCTCCGAATATTTTTTATTCTATGGACCTTCGACCAATGAAGTGATGACACATGCATGTGTGCACATGAACTTCTAAAAAGTGTGTTCCAAACCTGGGTCTCTGGGTGGCACTATATAACTCAATTCATTATCCATTATAGGGCTATTGGTTGATTTTTAGAATAAACTCGAGGAAGTCAGAGGAGACTTTATAGGTTTATGAGTCCTCGCGTCATCCTTGTAATCCTACAAGACACTAAGGATAAAATAGAAATTTTAAAATAAAACGCTCAAGAATAATTAATTGAGAATTAATTATAAATTAAATAATGTGATTATTTAAATTTAAATTTAAATTTTGGAACATAGATGTGGAGGTGTTCACATGATGTACACACCTATATAGTGTGAATTTCTCTGGAATTCAATTGTTTACTTTTCAAATTATCTAATTGACTTATTTAATAAGTTATTTAATTTAAAATTCAAATTAAATTAAATTTGTCCAACACTTGCATACAGATGTGCAGTTCCTTCTTCACACAGGGCACCATATGCAGCAAAAAATGACGCGACTGATTTCCTACGGTAACAAAAGGAAAGCAAATCAGGAGGCGATGACCTGTTGTATTTTATGTTAATTTAGAAAATTTCGGAAGTTAATGGAGATCCCAAATTTTTATGCTATGTTGGGTAATGGAGATCTAGCAATCACCTTGTGAAAAACAAAGGGTGTGTTTAGAATTGATTTTTATTTATTTTTTAAAACGTTTTTACACATTTCTTAAGGTACGAAAATGAAAACAGTCTGCAAATCGTGTTTGTTTAGTAAATATTTTGAAAACGAAAACGAAAATAAAAAACAATGAGAATGATTTTTGTGAAGGAATTAAAAAACGATTGAAAGTTACAAGGGCCCGTTTAGTTCGCTAATTCGAGTTGAGATGTGACGTTATGTGAGAGCTTTTTACTGTAGCAAAAAAGTTAGATGTAGCTGTTTTTGAGAGTTTTTTACTGTAGCTAAACTCGAATCGGCGAAATGAACGGGGCCTTTCTCTTTTCTATTTTTATTTTCTAATACTTATTAACAATGTTATAATATATTGATTAATAATTATAATCAATCGCGATTTTACTTTTTTATTACACTCAAAACAATCCCTTAAAAAACCAACTAAATACAATTTAAAAATAATTTTTAAAATAATCTCATTTTTATTTTTGTACTGAAAATAAAATCATTTTAAAAATGTTACTAAACCGGTCCAACCAGACTTGATTGGTTGGAAGGCGCCATTTTCGACCAAAAAAAAAACCAATTATATCAGGAGTTGAGTAAAACTTTGGCTTCCCATTGCCCAACTCTGTCACAACCGTCACGACCACTGCTCCCCAAAAACAATGAAAATGATGTTGATCGCAATAAAGAATGTCGTGAATCACCAAAAAACAAAGATTCATGCACATATCAGCCATATGATTCAACATGCTTCCCTATGAAAAAATAAATACTTAAAAACAAGGTGACTAAAGAACTGTAACAATTTGATGCGGCCTTAAACTATCCCAATGTACTATTTTCATTTAAGTTATGTAAGATGGGATTAAAAGGCATTCAAAACAAACTTAGTCAAACCCAAAGGGAAACTTGGCAAATAGTACTGACCTTAAAAAAAATAATAAAAAAAAAATGAAAAAAAGCTAAAAATACATATGGCTTCAAAGAAAGCTGAAACTACACAAATGTTCCTATTAAGCAACAATTAATATATGTTTTCGATACTTCATTCCAAAATATAGCTTTACTTTTGCAAACATATTGTTGAACATAACATAGAGCAACCAAGTACCATAACCTCTTCTTCATGGAAGAGAGAAAGGAAAGTACCATAATCTTCCTGAGGGCGCTGTCCATGATCTCCTAGAACAGCAGGAACCAGTTCCATTGATATGCTTATACATGCTATATTCCAATAAACACCAAGCATATTATTTAAGGGGGGCAAAAAAAAAAAAAAGAGAAAATTGAAATGCTACATGCTATATTCCAATAATGGTAATTACGAACTTGGAAAACATGGTACATCAATTGTAAACATGTCTACAAGATTTATTCAACTAGAAAAGTGCCATCCTGAACCCTTGTTCAAGAAAATTGAGCAGGTGATGCATAGTACGAGTATAATGTTAGCAAAAGAAATGACATTCTGAACAAGGGCCAAAGGATCAAATAAAATTAGTAAATCTACAGTGCAAAGGCTTAAGGAACACTACTACCTCAAGAAGTTCATCAAACTCTGCTTGCTTCTTAGCTGCTTCTGCTCCCCACGCCTCTTGCAATGTCCGACCGAGAACAAAAACACCCACAGCAGTGTATCTTCATAAGGAACATGATGCCATGCACAATACACATTTTGCCAAACCAATAAAGATACAAATAAATTTGAACTAAAGAGCATTGATCACCATGCCATCCCTATAAAATCCTTATCTCAATTATTCAATGCCAAAAATCATTCCAAAACAAGCTCAATTAGCAAATGAATTCAATATAACAAAATGTTTAATTTAGAATATCTTTAGAGAACTTCCCGTTTCACACCTCCCTTCCCTTACTTCAAAAAAAGCTCCATTTCTTATTGACAAAAAAGAAAAAATCAAAATATTTGTCTTCCTAACAAAAGGAACATGAAAAGCAGTTCATTTTAAAGTTTGAAATAAAGGACAATAGGGACAAAAGAAGAAGATTATTGTCAAAAGCATACATATTGCCAAAGCTCTTTTTCGCATATGCTCCACCATTACCAGCATACATAAAAAGAGGCCCAGAGTGTTTAAGTGAAACCTGCATCGTTTCCAATAAATCCACCAAAGTAAAATCAATTAGTAAAGCAATTAGAACAAACTGTAGAAAAAGAAAGCAACTAGTAAATCTGCATGAAACCAGAGTTTACTTTATGAGCAAAAAAAGGCCGGAAAAATGGAGCCACTAAGTAAGTAATACCCCTACATCAGAGAACAAGAAAGCTAGCCTTTAGATACCATCTCGATCATTCTTGTACGAACATGAAATGAAAAAGACCATCCAAGTCAAATGCAACAAAAGATTCACCACACGTGCAATTTGGTACAGACGCTCTCAGTACACTAAAGGAGAAGATAGCAAAAACAAACAAATAATTCTGCCAAAAAAGAAGTCACTTGTATCCTTTTCACTTAGCAGCAACATGGAAAAGAACTGAACACAACCAACACAAGCACTGGAAAGTAATTGGAAACAATTTTGAAGGCCCAAGGTGCAAAACACAGTTTCAAAGTTGACATCAATTTTAAAGCCCCATTTTACTGGACATGTAAACATCTGGGCACGAAACTAAGAAGAGGTGAAGTACGTACCTCCTGGTCTGACTTCTCATTTTCAAACTTGGGATAGAAAGCAGCTCTTATTTTCACTTGTAAATACCCAGAGTAGTCCACGGTATAACTTTCCAATAAATTGCTCAAACAAAAACTGCTTTTCTGAGATGCTGATGCTTGTCCTACTCCATTGCCCTGGTTGAGCATTGCGCTTTTGTCAACAGGTGTTTCCTCAACTTCAACCGCAGCGTCTCCGCTCACTGTCCCGTAAGATTCGGGCTTCTGCATTGCAATGTGACCTTGAATGGGGACCTGAATTTGTTAAAATATAAAAACTATTGTTGGCCCACCTCTTAATAGCTTAAGTTTTTAGGATGGATTGGTAAACTAATATAATATCAGAATAGGAGGTCATGAGTTTAAATTCTCGTAATTGTACTCTATCCTTATTTAAATTGTCATCATGTGTTGGATCTTTAATTTATCTCGGATTTAAATATTCATGTGTTGAACTTTTTAATTAATTTACCCACACGATTACCTATTGTCCACTCACACGTGAGGAGAAGTATTAAAATATAAAAATTATTGTTGGCCGACCTCCTAATAGCTTTTGCGATGAAATGGTAAACTAACAGAATTGCTGATTCAACATTCTCAAACTGCATGAGCTGAACAGACGCATTGGCCAGGCCACTTTTTCCACTAACACTTAATCCATCAAGTATGTTAGTGAAATCTTCCAACAACAAAAAAAACCGATGAATCCTCTAAAATGTCTGTAGATAGCCTGTGGGGTTTTCGCTTTTCTTTCCGTTTTTGTTTCTTGTGACCACCCCTTCTATGAAATGTTTGCAAAAAATTGATATCATTCAGATAATCCACGAAAATTGGATTAAAAAAGACAACTCAAAGTTTATACCGTAATTTACTACGGAAATAAGGCCCTAATCATCGTAAGGATTAACAAAATTGCAATGTCTTAATCGTAGTCGGAACATCGATAATTGCCTTACATGACAGATTATATTAACAATTCTATTCTACTACAGGGCAACTAAATGCTAAAATTGTATGAAGTCAAAATGATTTGAGTACATATATACACACACATACATATATATATATATAGAGAGAGAGAGAGAGAGAGAGAAAGTACCCGGTTCCGAGCCATGGCAGAAGGAGAAAGAGAAAAAAATGGCGGGCGGAAAGAGAGTGACGTAGTGGAAGCCTAACAAATAGCACAAAAGTAACTTGATCCTCAAGAATACTGACAATTGATTTTTGACCGAGGAGAGAATTTCTCAACAGATTTTACCCCTGTTTTTTTTTTTACAAGGAAATTTTACGAATTTCTTCTGCAATATTATTATATACTGATTTTTGTGGTAATTCTTTTTTTTCTTTTTAGGAAATTTTTGTGGTTGTTTTTATATGATTGTTGTAATTTATTTATTCATAGATATAGATATACAACTTCGTTGTAAAATGAATAATACTAAACCCTCTTATTCAAAAAATATATATATATATTATTTTCTCGAGTCTTAGGAGACGTTTGGTAAGAAAATTCATATCATGATTTATGATTCGTTACAATATTTTCTCTCACAAAAAATATACGTAAATCGAAAATAGTTCTAATCTCATGATTCTAATCCATGAACCAAACGTTCCATTAATCAAAATAGCGTGTGGACGCTAAACCTGAGATCCAAAAGCACAATTGCACAAATTCTTGCATTTTATGCAGCTAAATCATCGAAATTTTTTCCCTTTAGCTCAAAGAAACACTAGAGAAGTTAATATTGGATATAAATTTCCGGTTTGATATTATTTCCATCTAATCTAGTGGTATCAAATGGGCCGGGCCGTCCATGGACGACCCAGCCTAGCCCGTAACAGTATTGGATTCGGCATGACTCGATACGGTACTGTTACGGTCCGTGCCGGCCCGGCACGTTTGATGGGCTAGGGTTGGGCCTCGACTTTTCAGCCTGCGGCCCAAGCCCGTGAAGGCCCGCGGCTCAACCCAAGCCCAGATTCGGCCCAAGCCTAGATTCGGTCCTTGTTCGGCCCGGCCCAGGCCCGCGAAAACACCCCCCAACCCGTGAGGATTGTGACCGTTGGGCCCGCGAAGGGCCCAACGGTCACAAACCGCGAAGGGTTTTACTTGACAAGGTTTTTAACAAGACAATCATTTATGTGTACTTATTCGTATTATCTCAATTCAATAAAATCACATCTTTTGGCAGCATATGATATATATTTTTTTAATTAAATTTTAGAAAAAAAGTTACAAGGGCCAGGGCCGGCCCGTGAAGGACCTAGGCCGAGGCCCAACCCTGGCCTTTATGGACTAAGGCCGTAGGCCTGGACCAGGCCTGAGATTTTCTTCTCAGGCCCGGCCCTAGCACGACCTTGCATTGTGCAGGACCGTGCCAGACACTGCCCAAGCCCGCCACGGGCTTGGGGTCGGACGTGCCGTGCCGACTCGACACAACACGTTTAACCTCTCTATTCTAATCGTAATTATTTTACTCGCCCCCCTCTATCAAATTCTCAATCTATGTAAGTATTTACGTAAATTATCTTTTAAAAGCAAAACAAACAAGTTTTGCTTTTTTAACTCCAAGAAATAGTGGTTAAGGTAGAAAAGCGTATAAATGTCCGGTTTGAGATTAATTTTATGTACTCCTTATTTTATACTCGCCTTTAACTCCGGTTTATTAAGCTAGTAAAAAATGTACATTGATTTCTGTAAAAAATAAGAATAATAGTTATTAGTCTCAGGGGACGTTTGTTTATCTACAGTGTTTTCTCTCATAAAAAATACGTGTAAAACGAGAATAATTCTGAATCATGATTCTAAATACATAAACAAAATGTCTTCTCAATGATTTCTATCAGTCCGTCACTGAATAAAAACCCAATGACATATTTAACGAATCTGTAATGATCTAGATTGATGGTGCACCATTACTCTTGGAAAAGAAAAAAAAAAAAAAACTTTGGCACATTTTACTCTTTATTATTTATAGGTAAATTTTTAAGTTCAATACCTGTACAATTCAATAAATATAACTATTTTCGTACTCACGTATAACATCGTTCACATATATACCATTCAGTAATATCAAATTACATGTGATAACGATGTATGAAGTTTTGCATACAAATTGCCTCATGAGCCTACCAAGCAAGTATTCTAAGCAAATGACAACCATTAAAATATAGATGAAAACATCCTCATCTTTAGTTTCTTTGAAGAACAAAAAATATTATTATCAAGATGATAATGAAGCTGTAATTCTTTAAAGAAAAACTGATATTATCTGGATGATAACGAAGCAACTTAAAGCACGCGTGGAAGAGCG